GCCCCGGGCCGCCCGGAGCGAGGCTCGCAGGGAGGGAGGCGCTGGCGGCGCGTCCTCAGCGGCCCGCCCGCCCGCCGTCCGGCTCCGGGCCCGGGGAGGGGGCTGACAGGGGCGGCGCTGCGAGACTCCGAGGGCGGGAGAGAGGGCGGGCCGCGCGGCTGCGACGAATCCCGACTCGGGCGCGCCCCCTCGCGCGCGTTCTCAGCCATTTGGGGAGGAAGGGGTGGGAAACATGATAATGACAGCCAGGTTTTCGGCCGGCCGGCTCCTTCTCTCGCTGGCTCCAGGGATATTTTTGGGAGCCCAGTCCGTGCCAGGCGAAATCAGCAGGTGAATGAGACAAACCAGGGCCCTTGGGTGTGCCTGGAGCTGTGCTCCCGGATCACTTAATCCTCCCCGCAACTCCATGGGGCCAGATCCTGTCCCCATCTCCGGTTAACGTTTAAGATGGTGACATTGTGGCTCAAAAGATATACAGGGATTTGCCCAAAGCCACAGAACTAGGAAGTGATGGGGCCAGGTGTAAAACCTAGGCGGACAGTACTTAATGGGTAGGAAGCCCTAGGGAGAGCCAGCGGTGATAGTAAGTTTGCTGGGTGCTTCTCTTGCATACGTTGTCTCATTCAAACCTCAAAACAGTCCTATGAAGTTACACACCATTATTATCTCTTTTCTACAGATGAGGAAAGAGAGAGAAGCAAGCAGCTTGGCTAATTTCTAGAAATAGAAAGCCAGCCCAGGCCACCTCACTCCAGAGCCTGCACTCCTACTACCTTTCCCCATTGCTAATGAGGACAGTGAGGTTGGGGAGGGGCATGGTTCTGCAGAGAGTTTAGCAAGTCATCTTGTTCTGTCCCTCCACACCATGAGAAAATGCAGACAGGAGTTTCAGTCACTGTGGTGGCTGTCTGAGCATAGCTCACTGCCCTATGCCATTGTGCTGTAGCCATTAGGGCCTGTGGATCCACAGCCAAAGAGTCACTGTATTTGTGCAAAGTCATGGGTACAAACAAGACACTTCAAGGTATACAGCTGCTGCTGCCTGGGTGGTGGCCTGGGAGTGAGGGACTGGGTTTCTTTCCCTGCATCTGCCCAGAGATGCTTTGTGATCATGGCCAAGTCATTCCCCCAGTCTGGGCCTCAGCATTCTCAAGGGTAAAAACCAAAAACCTCAAATTCCATGACCTACTCAGGGCACCTTCCAATATCTACAGATAAACAAATGGCTGTCTGTAACCACTTCTTCACCCTACCCCATGCCCATGAAAGAGAAGACTAAATAGGATTAAGTGACAGGTCACTGCTCAGGACAATCCTTCCTAAATCAGCACATGCATTAATGTCTTATAAGGCAGGATTCCCTCCCCCCAACCACCGACTCCAGTGAGGTAAGGTACTCTGCTCATGCCCTCTGCAGAGCCTACCACACCTGAATACCCAAAGGACTATCCACAGGATGGGAGAGGATTCGAAAGTGACACTCAGACACCTGGCCTGGGCTACTTGAAAGTGGCCTGTACATCTGCAAGGCAGAGATGTTTTGCAGTTTCTTGCAAACTACCATGAGAATCAGTTTTGGAGCAGGAAGCAGCCATTCAAATCATCTTGTCTACTTCATACACTATTTTAATCCACCCTGCCTCCCCACCCATGGCCATAGCTTTTTCTGCATCTTAGCCTCCAAATGCAGGAGATACATTACAAGCTTAGCACCCATTCCTCTTAATTTTGCAGCTCTAGTACCTAGAAGATGTAAATACAAATCATTTGATGTAAGTTACAAAACAGTCCTTTCTTTTGTGTGTGCTTATATATATATAAAACAAATACACTTATCTATCAACAGAAATAAAAACTCAACATTGACCAGGATTTCACAGAAATATAATTCAATAGCAATATTAATCACTAAGACTTGTTGAACGCTGACCATAGGCTATGACTGTAACACACTGCATTACTTGATTTAATCTTCCTAACAAGTACAACTTATGAGAGGGTACTATTATTCCTATTTCACAAATGTGTAAACTGAGGCTCAGGGCAGATAAATCACTTGTCTAAGGGTAAAATGATTAAGAAGTGATGGATGGGCAGTGCCTATAGCTCCGTGTGTAGGGCACCAGCCACATACACAGAGGCTGGCGGGTTTGAACCCAGCCCAGGCCAGCTAAAACAATGACAACTGCAACAAAAAAACAGCCAGGTGGAGCGTTTGGCAGGCACTGGTGAGTGGAGACTAAGTGGCCGAAAGTATTGAACTTTAAGCCAGGGCCTCTAAAGAGAACAATCACCACACTTATGGCAGGGATTTTATGTACATAGTTCAGAGACCATTAGGCAGACTACAGACTGTGACAAAAGGGGTGGAGTCTCTTGTTTGTACAGATTGGATTCGTCACAAATTTACCAAGTCAAAAATTCCAGATAAAGTGTTTCAGCCTTCACCTGCAAATCATGAAAAGTATGGTGGAGATCCACAGAACCCCTATAAACTGCATATTGTTACGTAGAATAAAGGGTACAAAAAGATGTCCATACTGGGGAAAAGATACAAGAAAGATGCTTGGATTAGAAAAAGCACATACCCCTCAAGTTCACAAGAATATCTCTTCAGTGAATGCAAAACTGAGTGGTCAAACATTTGATAAGAATCAAGCCTCTGGGGGTGGCGCCTGTGGCTCAGTGAGTAGGGCGCCAGCCCCATATACCAAGGGTGGCGGGTTCAAACCCCTGCCCCGGCCAAACTGCAACAAAAAATAGCCAGGCGTTGTGGTGGACCCCTATAGTCCCAGCTACTTGGGAGGCTGAGGCAAGAGAATCGCTTAAGCCCAAGAGTTTGAGGTTGCTATGAGCGGTGATATCACAGCACTCTGCCGAGGGCAACAACTTGAGACTCTGTCTTGAAAAAAAAAATGAAGTGATTGACCCAGTTTTCTGTATCAGGGTACTTTACCTTTAAAGAATGTATACTGCTTCTTCAGAATTCAAACACTAACATACTGATTCATTTGTTCAACAAACATTTATTGAATACGTACTTTGTTCTAGGCCCTGTGCTAAGGACACACCAGTGACCATACAGACAGAGCATGATGAGGGGAGAAGGGTCAGTAGGACCCTGTAGGCTGTGGTGAGAACTGGAGACTTGCTCCTAAGAGCAATGGGGAAGGGGGAGTGAGGGGAGGCATAGTGAGGGTCACATGATAAAAATCTGTGAACTTTAGGACTACTCTATTGCTAAGGGATAATGAAATGGAGATGGTAAAAGTGAAAGGAGGAAAACCAATTAGGAGGCCATTCAATGTTAGCAGTAAAGATGACCACTCAAACTAATATATATTATTCTTGGGATTGTAAATGTTTATATGATTATAAAATTTCAAAACCAGAGAGGAGGTGCCTCGTATCTAAAGAGTCTGTTCAGGTGACTCAGCAAGACTCAAAGTATCGCCCGGTGCAGTTGCTCATGCCTGTAATCCTAACACTCTGGAAGGCTGAGGCAGGCAGATTGCCTGAACTCACAGGTTAGAGACCAGCCTGAGCTAGAGACCCCGTCTCTTAAAAAAGAAAAGCTGGGTGTTATGCCGGCGCCTGTAGTCCCAGCTACTTGGGAGGCTGAGGCAAGAGAATTGTCCAAGCCCATGAGTTTGAGGTTGCAGTGAGCTATGAGTGCCAGGGCACTCTACCAAGGGTGACAAAGTGAGACGCTGTCTCAAAAAAAAAAAAAAAAAAAAAAAAAGACTCTCAAAGCAACTTTAGAACTAAGATTGATTTCCTAGTAGAAAAAGAAAAGGCTGATCATGCATGTGAAGTGCTGTAAATGATCTGATATTTACAATTCTAAATATCCAGTTTAATTGTTTGCAACGGTAATAAAGCCTAAGAAATAGGAAACTACTAATTTGGGGGGGGTCAAGTGAAACAGTAAGCATAACTAACTAATAATTTACAAAGGGGATTTGTAAGTCTGCCATGGTAGAAGTTGGAAAACATTCATCTTCACTTTTAACTAAGTAAGGAAAGAAGGGTGGAACAAAGAAAGACACAAGCACTGCTACAATATGGATAGTGACTTTAGATTTCAGGATTCTGGGCGGTGCCTGTAGCTCAAAGGAGTAGGTGCCAGCCCCATATGCCGCAGGTGGTGGGTTCAAACCCAGCCCCAGCCAAAAACTGCAAAAAAAAAAAAAAAAAGATTTCAGGATTCTAGCTCTGAAAAATGGGAATAATAATTTGCAAAGAAAGGCTCAGCGCCTGTGGCTCAAGTGGCTAAGGCACCAGCCATATACACCTAAGGTGGTGGGTTCGAATCCAGCCCGGGCCCACCAAAACAACAATGACGGCTGCAACCAAAAAATAGCCAGGTGTTGTGGCAGGCACCTGTGGTCTCAGCTACTTGGGAGGCGGAGGCAGGAGACTCG